ACGCCAGAATAACCGGAATGACCGGTCGCTATGATGCCCACTGCAGCCTGCCAACTGGCCCAATCAGGGGCGGGGCCAGCTTACCAACCACCCGCGCCCCCTCCCTCCGGCTGGCCCTGCCCCTGACCAGCCCCCACCCCCACCCCGATCGGGGGTGGGGCTGGCCGGCCAGCCAACCTCCCACACCCCCTCCCCCCTTGTCCCCTACCCTTGCCACCAGCCCCAGCCCAATCGGCCCCTATTGGGGAGGGCCAGCCGGACCCCACCTGTGCACCAGTTCGTACACCGGGCCTCTAGTACAAATATATTCTTAAAAAACACTATTAAAATTCAAGCTGGAACAAAACAACTGATCCTGAAGGATAAAGAACTCCTCTCTGGTTGACCTTCCTTCAGCCCAAAGCCCTCCAAGACGCCCAGACTGCACTCCAAAGGCCCTCCAGGAGATAGGGTCTGAGAACCTGCCACAAAGAGAAGGCACGGGAGGGGGCAGGCACGTTTCCCTGGGAGAGAGAAGCCGGAGTCAGACATGCTGATGTGTGGAAAGAGGCCCTTGACTTAGTCTGGGTCACTCTGGAGACCCAGGAACAGCAAGAAGTTACAGGCAGTTCCCCACTGTGTCACAGGGTTAGGTGTGAGCTTCTCAACAAGAGAAGCCTTCTGGCAAGAAATGGGCGACTCAGTGCTGGGCTGGAGGGAGACCTAAGAGATGGTCTTTAAGAGATGACCACCAGCTAAGCTGGCCACAGCAGCCAGACTCCAGCCAAGCTTCATTCCACCCTCCCATCTGGTGGTGGCAGAACCCAAGTTAGTCCACAAGAGGAAGTTCCATGTACTCAAACACCCAGACAGTTCTCCAGCTTCTGGCTCCCTCATCCTCTCAGCTCTAAAAAAGTCCAGACGTGATGAAAAAGGCAAGAAAAAGCAGAAGCCCTCCTTCTGACCCTCTCAGCGCTGAAACCAACAAACCCTTCATGTCCAGCTCCTCGCTAGGGAAGTCGATGGGGTTCCCCATGTGTGGCACAGGCCAGGCAGTGTGGGTTTGAGTCCCGACTCTACCACTTAAGAGCTGTCGGCAAGTCACTTCTCTGGGCCTTAGCACCCTCGTTTGTAAAACTGGGATAATATTACCTTCTCAAGAACTCTGATGGGAAGATTAAAAGCCATCCTATCTAATAAAGAGGGAATATGCTAATTGACTGTCACGCCCTCAAAGATTGAGGAGCCCACAGCCAATAAGGAGGGAATATGCTAATTGACTGTCACACCCTCAAAGATGGCGGTGCCCACAGCCACAACATGGCCAGCAGGGGAGGGCAGTTAGGAGCAACCAGGCCTGCAGGGGAAGGCAGTTGGGGGGGAGGGGGGGGCAGACCTGCAGGGGAGGGCAGTTAGGAGCAACCAGGCTGGCAGGGGATGGCAGCTGGGGGCGATCGGGCTGGCAGGCAGAAGCGATTAGGGGCAATCAGGCAGGCAGGCAGGCAGGCAGGCAGGCGAGCGGTTGGGAGCCAGCATTCCTGGATTGTGAGAGGGATGTCTGACTGCCGGTGTAGTCAAACACCCCTCAAGGGGTGCCAGATTGGAGAAGGTGCAGGCTGGGCTGAGGGACACCCCACCCCCCCAGAGCATGAATTTCATGCACCGGGCCTCTAGTTATTTATATAAAATATTGAGTATGTACCTGGTACATATAGAAGGCAATCAAAAATGTTAGCTGCTACGATTACTACTCACCCCACAAATAATGTACCAAGTGCCTAACAACGTGAGACTAGACTGGGGTGGGGAGTTTGAAGGGGTGTGTCCCATGATTCACAAATCCCTCGCCCCATGGAGCCTCCCATCTAGTAGGGGGGACAGACAAGACACAAGGAAATCACCAAACACATAATCACACATACACGCACTGGGGGAAGGAGGAAGGGGAGGTCCTGAGGCACGTGCTGAAGGGGACATTCACCCCGATGTGGAAGCAAGGGCAAAGGGGACCGTACTCCAGGCGGACTGCCTCAACGCCCAGTCCCAAGGCAGCACCAGGCTTGTGAGAGAGGAGCTGGAATACAGCCAGCGAGCCTGTGGGCAGTGGGCAGGGGGAGGAGAGGGACCCAGAGCGGGGCTGGCGGGGAGGGCCGTGGCCAGATCATGCAGGGGAAGGAATGCGGCTTTTAAGCCCAAGCAGTGATCTGGCTTTCCCTGGAGGGGTTTAAGCAGGGGAAGTGATGGGGTCCAATTTTCTTTCCAGGAGATTATTTTTATGACTCACGATCCTTGCTCTAGAGAATACTCTATTTGGGTAAGCTGGACCAACACCAATGAAATATCTTAGTGGACAAAAGCAAGATAGGCCATTCCATGCCTTGGACTGTAAACACCAACCGACTTGGTCGCAAGGTTGTGTTGGTGCAACTCGGAGGGCTTCACGGAGGAGGTGACAGAACAGGCCTTGAAGGTTGGGAAGATCTGAGTAGGTGGAGGGGTGGGGCCTGGGTAAGCATGCCGGGCAGGGAGACAGAAGGAACCAGGAGCCAGGAAAAAAGGAATACTGTTCTCCCCCCCCCCCCCCACTTCCCTCCATGAACCTGTGGCCACCCTCAGCTTCATGGCTCCCAGCCCTCCACGAAGGATACAGAGTGGGCTCGCAGGATCACTGTCGTAATTTATCCTTATTACCTCTACCCAGGGGCCAGTGGAGGGTCCAAATCACCACAGAGCCCCCGAACCACTCATCCCTGTGCCCTGCCATGGTCACCTCCACCTCCACGGAGGAGGGAATGAAGGAACAGGGAGAGAACCGTCCTGGGAAGACGCAGGAGCCAGGACTTCTCAGAAGCTGCTGGGGAAGCACTCAAGTGCCACCCACGCAGGGACAAGACATAACTGCTCTGCTTCCTCCTAAACTTCCCACTCTGTCTACAAAAAGGGAAGAAATGGGCGCTCACCAGCAGCGGTCACACGGACAGGCCTGCACGGGCATTAGATGGCTCTCAGGACAAGGCTGGGGACCTTGGGTCTTAGCCCTGATTTCATTTCGGGGGCGGGGGTGGGGGGTGGGGCACTGGGTGTGTGTTCCTGGCTGGCCCGAGACCCTTGGAGGCAGTTATTATTATTATATTTTTTAATCCTCTCCGGGGATATTTTCCCACTGATTTTTAGAGAGAGAGGAAGAAGGGAGAGAGGGAGAGAGGGAGAGAGGGAGAGAGAGAGAGAGAGAGAGAGAGAGAGAGAAACATCAATGTGAGAGGGACCAGATGGAGCCTACAACCTAGGTACATGCCCTTGACTGGACTCGAACCTGGGACCCTTCAAGTCCTCGGACCAATGCTCTATCCATTGAGCCAAACTGGCGAGGGCAGCAGTCATGTTTATCTGGTGCATCTCCAAATACAGGTCTCGGTGGTTCGGGTGAGAGGCACAGGCCACCCAGCACTGCTCCTGTGCCAGAGAGCTAGCCTGCCAGTTACCCCGCTAGCAATCCTGCTGCAGGGGCTGGGGCAGGGGCTGGGGCAGGGGCTCTCTACGCCGTCAGGGGAGAAAGGGAATCTTCAGGAGGATCCCCGAGGGGCCTCAGAGCCAGCCCTGGCTCTCGATTGCCCATGAGCGGCTTCTCAGGAAGACAGGCCGGCGGTTCCAACTCCCCATGGGGTTCACACTGCCATTTGTCTGCTCTGTCCTCCAGCCACCTGCCTTTCGAAACAGGGGAAAGGAGTCGGCCCACTTCCTCCACCTCCTATCCCAGAAGGCCTGCAGGCTGCCGGCAAGGCCTGCTTACCAGCCCTCACCTCAGCCTCCTGCTCCCTGGGGCCCAGGCAGTTGGGCATCAGTAACCTAGTTCACAGAGAAGGAACCTGAGCCCGCCCCAACTGCCAGAATGACAGTCTAAGGGAGGAGGGCCAGCTGTGGCCTGGGGTGGGGGTGCTGTAGGTGAGGGTGCAGCCAGATGCAGAACCCAGCTCGTTACTCAGGGGAGAGAGTGGGAGGAGGGAGGAGGGAGGAAAAGGAGGAGAAGGAGGAGGAGGAAGGAGAAGGAGAAGAAGGGAGATGCAGAATGACACGAATTTGGTTTGTCTCCCTTCCTCCACCCCTTCCCCCAACCTCAGCCCAGGCTCTCAGGCCCACGCCACTTGTAATCTGAGCCCCCCAGGAACCTGGAGGGTTCCAGATGACCAGCCAGCACCCCAGGGGGCAGGAACAGAGGCTCCTGTGGGGTGTCCCTGTGTGTGTACACAGACTTAGGTACACACACCTCGCAGCTGGCATATCAGGAAGTGTTAAGCTGAGAACAATCACACCCCAAGAGCTGTGGGAATGGGGGTGGGGTGATGAGAAGATCTGGGTGTGGGGGGAGGAGGGAACTCAGAGAGGACAGATTTCCTTCTCCTCTGAGCCCCTTTGTCAGCTCACCCCACAAAGCAAAGGGCTTAGCTACCAGGTAGCTGAGAGGGGAGGGCTCCCCGTTCGAGGAGGAGGGGAGGAGGGCTGAGTCCTTATTTGGGAGGCAAATCATGGAGGCTGTGGCTGGGGAGGGTCCTGCCCCCTCTTCCTGGACTCTCCAGCCTCCAACAGGCCTCCTAGCTGATCCCACCCTCCCCGGCCTCGGCTCAAGAAAGAACCAATCAGGGGCCCAGGATGAGCAAACTGCGGGGAGAGGAGGGGCCTCAGCCTCAGTTTTTGCCTTTGGGGCAGGAGCTGTAAGGAAGGCGAGGCTGGGAGGGGAGTGCCTTGGCCCCTAAATCTGTTGTTATCTTTGCCAACAAACGGAAACTCAAGTCAGGCCCAATGACAGATAAGAAATGAGAACTGAGGCCTCCCCTCCCCTCAGGGAAAGGCTGTGTTGACAGAGACAAACAGGCCCTAACCTGCACTCTCTCCCAGCACTTGGAGAAATAATAGTGTCAGCTAAAACTTGGGCTCTTTCCCAAGAGCTTCCCCTACAAACTCAGAGAATCCTCACAGCAACCCCTTGAACAGTTAAGTCAGTGGTTCTCAACCTTCTGGCCCTTTAAATACAGTTCCTCATGTTGTGACCCAACCATAAAATTATTTTCGTTGCTACTTCATAACTGTCATGTTGCTGCTGTTATGGATCGTCATGTAAATATCTGATATGCAGGATGGTCTTAGGCGACCCCCGTGAAAGGGTCGTTCGACCGCCACAGGGGTCGCGACCCACAGGTTGAGAACCGCTGGGTTAAGTCCTCAATGCCTTTAATAGGTTCTGTGGCTTTAAGCAGAAGTAATTTTACCATCGGCTAATGGACATAAACAAGAGTTAAGTCTCTAGGCATCTCATCAACATTATAATGGGCACCTACTGTACTGATATTAGTATACCCAGCTTGCAGATGGAGAAACCGAGGCGCAAATGTTCAGTAATCTGCAGAAGGCCTAGAGCTAGTAAGTAGTCAAGTGGGGATGGGGAGCCCGACCCTCTTCCTTTTTTTAAACTGGGGTCCAATGAAAACTGGGGTCCTTCCAAATATGTATCCTTTTAGTAACGACAACCTCGCCCCCGAATTTTGGTACAGCTATTCACAGTTTGTAAGGGGCATTTCACATGTATCTGGCTGGTCATCTGCCTGTTCTCCCTCCTTCGGATAATACAGTGTGTCCAAACAAGAGGTACACACACATTAACAAATGACAACTCAGTTAATTTTCATGCCTTTCCAGGTTTAACTGATTTGAAATAATGGGTGAAGCCAGATTAAGTTTTAAACAAAGAAAATTTATCCTAAAATACTTATATATATATATATATATTTAAATACTTATATATATATTTTATTGATTTCAGAGAGGAAGGGAGAGGGAAAGAGAGATAGAAACATCAATGATGAGAGAGAATCATTGATTGGCTGCCTCCTGCAGGCCCCCAACTGGGGATCAAGCCTGCAACCCAGGCATGTGCCCTTGACCGGAATCAAACCTGGGACCCTTCAGTCCACAGGCTGATGCTCTATCCACTGAGCCAAACCAGGTAGGGCCCCCCCCCCTTTTTATGGGGATGCATAAAAGATAAAGTTTATGGTACAAAACTGGCAACAGTTGACGAATTGAGGGTGCACGAACACCTAACACAATGATTTTTGATGTTTGGGATTTCACTGCTTCGTATTACCAGCAGTGCCTGGACCAGAATGGTCATCAGTTTGAAAACAGGCATTGACACAGAAAAAATTATTCATTTCTGTAGCTTCTTTTAAATTTTGAAAATGAGCTCTGTGCTAACAAACACTGACTTTATAATCATTGGACCTTGTGTATACATTTTTGGGGACACCATGTATTTGAGTGCCTAAGCACCTGGCATTGTACCAGGTCCCAAAAAGGATCACCTGGTCCTCTCACCCCCACGGAGGAGAGAGATGGTAATGGTATTACTCTCATCCTCATATGGGGAAACTGAGGCTGCAGGAGGTCTATGCCTGGCTTGCCCAAAGCCAGTGGTTTTCAAACCCTACAACACATGTAAAGAATAATATGGACCAGTATATACTGTACATATACACACACACACACACACAACACACCACCAGTTTCATGATACGGTACTTATTATGTGACACGTGCTGGTACTTTCTTTCTCATTTGCATTTAAATGCTGGTTCAGCCCATTCATGGTCAAGACGCCCAGTTTGTAAAACAGTGCAATAAGCCTGTCATTAATGGCAGAGTCGAGTCTTGCCCTAGTCCCGCCCCAGACCAGGGTCCTCATTGGTCTGCCGTACTGTCCCTCACCTGGAAGCATGACTGTGCCCTTCAATAAATCCCGGTGAGAATGACCACAAACTCAGTCGGTGTGTTACGAGTGTCTGCACATTTCAGCCGTTATCCCTTGGCCAATAGACGCCACGTCCCCTGGAACACTGGGTGACAACATCTTAAAAGTACAAACACGGGCATCTAACAATTCCTGTAAGAACGAGTGTCTACGGACCTAGAACTTCAGGTGCCACAATCCCTTCACGTTCAAATTCAGGTGCATCGAATAAGTGCTTCCTTCAAAGGCAGAAACACCTAACACCTGAGCAGTCCTTTTCCCTTTGGAAAACATTTTCACAGTATTCTGGCTTCACCCACTATTTCAAATCAGTGAAGCATTTTCATGGGATTCTCACAACGATGCCTCCGGCTTGGAGAGGAAACCAGGCACCTTCACCAAGGGCTGGGGTTCATCTAACACCTCGGCACTGGCTCGTCTCCAAACGGCAGGGAGCCCCCCACCTCACATTTCCGGCCCGAGAGCCTTGGATGGCGCAAATGGTTCACTCTTGCAGGAAGGAGGGAGGACCCGGACCAGCACTGACAAAAAGGTCTCAACGTGATGACGGATGGAGAACTCCCAGGGTCCGGTGTGGGAGTGGTGGGTAGACCCTCACCTGGACAGATCCATTAGTACCGCCTGTGCCATGGTCATGGGTGATGGAGCCTTTGCCACCCCCAACCTCGTGGTGCCTCTGCTCCCGCCTCCCCCTGGGCAGGTAATGGAGGGTGGAGGCTGCGAGACACAGGCCCTTGCCGGCAATGACCCCACTGCTAGTTCAGGTCCTCTTTCCTTCCGACTCCAACAGCAGTGTAGGAGCATGACACTGTCCAACGGGGGGACCCGGAGGCCCAGAGAACGTACTCACCAGCAACAGGGCCTCCAGCTGGTTGATGTAGATCTCCTCACTGGCCAGGAACCCTGAGAGGACCAGCTTCCTCATCTCCAGGCCTTTCCCTGCTTCCACCTGTACAAGAGCAAACCAGAATCCTGAGCGGTCTGTCTTCTTCCTTTTATCTCCTCTTTCACTAACACTTTTGTATGGGGTAAATGCCAAACACACCTATTAGAGAATGTGGCAACTACAAAAATATAAAGGGAAAAACACCCTATTCCTACACTAGCTTCTTTTTTGTTCTGTTAATCCTCACCTGATGATATTTTTCCATTGATTTTTTTTTTTTTTAGGGAGAGAAGAGAGAGGGAAAGACAGAGAGAACTATCGATGTGAGAGAAACACATGATTGGTTGCCTCCTACACGGGCTGGGGAGGAGCCTGAAGCCAAGGTACGTGCCCTTGACTGGAATCGAACCCGGGACCCTTTGGTCCGCAGGCCGATGCTCTTTCCACTGAGCCAAACTGGCTAGGGCTCCTACGCTAGCTTCTTGCTTTGTTTCTCTCTCATCCTTTTTCCACATTTCCTTATTTGAGACCCATCCATCCATCCATCCATCCACCTATTCAACCTCATAATAGTGAGCAAGACCACAAAGGTCCTGGCCTCATGTGTGTGGGGGCAGTTTAATGGGGGGACGTAGTTAAGAAGGGAAATCAGAATCATGGCTGAGGCAGGGCATGCCACATGGAAGGGCACAGAAGGGGCATGGGGAGGCTCCCAGAGGAGGTGATCTATAAACTGAGAGGAGGGGTGGAAAGAATGGGATGAAAGTGGCCATGGGAACCCCAGCTGTGTGGCCTTCTGGCTGCACCTCTGACTTGATCTTCCTGTCCCCGGGGGTTCAAATTCGAAACAAAAGATGCTAGCTGTGGCCCTGGCAGGGTGGCTTGGTTGGTTGGAGCATCGCCCCCCTTCATCTCCCTACCCAACCCCCCCCCAGGATGGGTAGGAGAGGCAAACGATCATTGTTTCTCTACTTCTCTCTCTCTCCCTTCCTCCCCCCTCTCTCTCTCTCAATGAAAGAAATCATTGGGTGAGGATTTAAAAATTTATAATAATACTAAAGAAAAGAAAGGGGGTAACTAGCTGTAGGGCCCTCAATTTTAACCTTGCACCCCCTCCTATTTAACCATGCACCCCCTCCTATCATTTCCTGACAGCCTCATTCTCTCTCCCCTGTGGTGGAGATCACGCCTCATTTAGCTTTGAATGCCCATCTTGCTAATCTCTTACCAAGACTCTTCCCTTCGGTTTCACTCCTCCCCTCTGCGGTGGTCGAGGCCCTCAGCATCCCACTCTGCAGGCCGCCTCTTCTAACTGACCCCTGCCTCTCCCGCCTCCCGCCACTCCACACACCAGCGCCGGATCCATCTTCTGAGTAGGCCACCTTCCACCTGATGTTTGTCAAGGACTTAAGTCAATACAGCAAAACGTAATTATCTGGGGATTCAGTTAAGTTATTCACCCAACAAATATTTACTGAATGCTCACCAGACCCCATAGATAGAACAGGAAACAAACACACAGTCGTCCCTACTCTCATGTGGCTTATAATCTAGTGGGAGAAAAAGACGTTAAAAAGAAAACAAAAACCAAGTAAATATAAATGATAACATGGGCCCCAGCTTATTTACTTAAACACCTTCAGTGGCTCCTAGTGCCTCTCCCTACCCTTCCATCTCCCCACAGCCCTCGGATCTGTCTTCCCAACAGGCCAGAGGTGTTCCAGCCCCTGAGGGTGCCATCCCCACTGCCTCAATGCCTTCTCCCACCCCGGCCCCTCTCTCGTCTGAACCCCACCGCCCCGTGAAGGCACAGCTGCAGTCTCTCTGGCCTGCAGCGTCTCTTGGAGTCTGCGGCACTGACCCTCAAACCTGATGGGTGCCCTGGTTCATGACCTGCCCGTTGGCTCCGTAGTCTCTGGGTACCTGCATCACACGCCTGTGCACTCCCTGGAGTCCAGCGCCACGTGACACCCCGGACACGTGGGCACCTAACATCATTTGGCCTTCAAGTGCCTCCTTGAGGTGGCTACTATATTTTCTCATTACACACACAGAAATGAGCAAGACTTAAAAGGGAAGGGACTCACCCAGGGTCACAGAGCCAAGAAGTGGCCGGGATGGAATTTGACCCCAGGCCTGAACAATGAATTCCGTGCTCTTCCCCTGCTCGGGTAACATCCTCACTCGTTCTCAAGCATCAGACGCTCACCTGGAATCTCAAGCAGATCCCTCTCGGGGCCTCAACAGCACGCCCTGAGCATAGTCTGGGAGAGCATGTGAAGCTACCAGAAATTTCCCAAGTCCGGAGAAGTGCGGCTTCCCCCCAGCTGCCTTCCCGGCCCTGGTGTGCTCACATGCCGGCCGGCCGGCCCTTTCCCCAGGCGAGAGACTCAGTGCTTGGCCTTCCATTCGCAAGCCCGTGAGCAGATCTGAGCTGGAGGCTGCTACACCACCCCACCCCACACCATCTCTGGAATGGTATCTGACCCAGTGATAGAAGAACAATGTCATGCCAAAGAGGCCCACACCCCAACCCCCCAAACCTGTGGCTATGCGATCTCATATGGCCAAAGGGACTTGGCAGATATGATTAAGTTAAGGATTTTCAGATGAGTTATCCTGGACTCTCGGTGGACCCTTATGTATCACAAGAGTCCTGTAGGAGGCAGGCAAGAGGGTAGAGAAACAATGACCACAGGAGAGGGCAGGGAGGGAGGGACAGACTGGCTGCAAGACCGGAAGATGCCACACTGCTGGCTCCGAAGACATCCCATGAGCCAGGGAATGCAGGAGGCCTCTAGACCAGCGGTTCTCAACCTGTGGGTTGCGACCCCTTTGGGGGTCGAACAACCCTTTCACAGGGGTCACCTAAGACCATCGGAAAACACATATACAATTACATATTGTTTTTGTGATTAATCACTATGCTTTAATTATGTTCAATTTGTAACAATGAAAATACATCCTGCATATCAGATATTTACATTACGATTCATAACAGTAGCAAAATTACAGTTATGAAGTAGCAACGAAAATAATTTTATGGTTGGGGGTCACCACAACATGAGGAACTGTATTAAAGGGTCGCGGCATTAGGAAGGTTGAGAACCACTGCTCTAGACGCTGGAAAAAGGCTCGGGCGGATATGGATTCTCTCCGCCAGCGCCTCCAGAAGGAATGCAGGCCGCTGGCCCTTGCAGACGTGTGTAAGTGAATAAACGTGCTGTTTTAAGCCACGAACTGTGTGGCCATTTGTTGCAGTGACATTGGGAAACTCATATGGACGCCACGCTTTAGGGAAGGACAGTAGTTACTTATTGATGCCTTCCCAAGTACCAGGCACTGTCCTAAGTGCCTGCCGTGGATTAACCCACTGAAGTCCCACAACCTGGAAGGTGCTATCGTTATTCTCCCGAGTCAGAGTGGAAACTGCCAGCGGCCGGAGCTGTCCACTGGCAGGTGGGCAGCACTCCCTCCGAGGAGCAAGATCAGAGCTCGGAGCAGGGCCCCAGCCTGACACCTGGGAACTCTCCCTCCGTGTAGGCGGCCAGCACTCTCCTGCTGCACCCTGTTCCCCTCCTGTTTCCTGCCAACCAAGGGCTTGTCTGAGGGCCTGAGAGTGGGGAACACTGTGAGCTTAACAGTAGAGCTGGCTGGACTAGGACCAGAGCGAAGACCTGGTGATTCACGGCCCCCGCCAAGCCTTCGCCACCGTGGCGTGAGCCAGACCCCTGTGCCAGCCCCTTCAGCAAGGCCCACTCCTTAAGAGACCCCCACCTCAGAGTCCAATCTTGAAAGGGCTTCCCAAAAGGGACTAAGGAGTCACCCCTGAGCGTCCCTACTCTGGGCCACATTCATTCTGAAGTGTGGGCTGGCATGAGGGTGGAGGTGATGTGATATTAAATCCAGTTACCACCAAAAACTTCTGTCATCTTTTTGCTTTCCTCAGACCCATGTTCCTGGTTTAGAATGATCTGGAAATTCACAATTATCTAATCCTTGTGGGGCTATTCTTTTATTTTAATTTTTTTTAATTGATTGATTTGAGAGAGAGGAAAGGAGGGAGAGAGAAACATCGATTTGTTGTTCCACTTATGCATTCATTGGTTGCTTTTTTTAAAATCTGAGGATATGTTTTTACTGATTTTGAGAGAGAGAAACATCGAGCTGCCCCCCGCCCCCCATCCCTACAGGCTCCCCAAGCAGGAATTGAACCCCTAACCCAGGCATGAGCCCCAACTGGAAACCCAAGTGCAACCTTTCTTTGGTGCATGGGACGATGCTCCAATCAATCGAGCCACCCAGCCAGGGCTCATTGCTTGGTTTTTGTATGTCCCTGACCGGGAATGGAACCGGCAACCTTGGCTTATCAGGATGACACTCTAACCAACTAAGCTACCCAGCCAGGGCCCTTGTGGGGCTGTTCTTATCTCACAAAATGTCAGGGCTCAACATTAACTCATTCACACCTCACTAGGTGCCCGGTACTGGGAATACAAGTGAGGGAGACCATTTCTGTCCCAAAAGCCCTCCAGAGGGGCACACGTGCCCAGCATCTCGGGGCGAGTTCTCTAAAGAGTTCAGGTTCCCCCAGCACAGGAAAGCTGCCCTCTCAGTGACACCATCCCCACTTCCTCCCCACGGGGAGCTTATGAAACGCGGCCCCGGTGGGCTCCTTCATCGCCAGCATTTACACAATCTGCAGTCTCGGCGTCTGTCGGCCTGAGGGCCCCCTATCAAGAGGTCGAGTCACTCCGGCAGGGACAGCATCTCCCAGCAAGGCTTGGCCAACGCTGGCCTCGTCACTACAGTAGGGACTAAAAATAGCCCCTGAAGGTTTCGCTCTAGGCCAAGCCAAGCCAGTCTGTCCAGGAGCTGTGATCTCCTCCAAGACAGCAATGAGGACTGATGAGGCAGAGCTGCCTGTGAGTCAGAACCGTAGGCCAAGCGGCTCCACATCCGCAGAGTTCTGCTCACGGACCACGCTAGTTTGCAAGGAGCACCCAGCGGGGTCTGCTCAGAGCAGGTGCCACTGCGCTTAGGAGCTGGGTCCCTGCCAAGCC